ACAACAACAACAACAACAACAACAACAACAACAACAACAACAACAACAACAACAACAACAACAACAACAACAACAACAACAACAACAACAACAACAACAACAACAACAACAACAACAACAACAACAACAACAACAACAACAACAACAACAAACAACAACAACAACAACAACAACAACAAACATCAACAACAACAACAACAACAACAACAACAACAACAACAACAACAACAACAACAACAACAACAACAACAACAACAACAACAACAACAACAACAACAGCAACAACAGCAACAGCAACAGCAACAGCAACAGCAACAGCAACAGCAACAGCAACAGCAACAGCAACAGCAACAGCAACAGCAACAGCAACAGCAACAGCAACAGCAACAGCAACAGCAACAGCAACAGCCAGCAGCCACAGCCACCACAGCCACAGCCACAGCCACAGCCACAGCCACAGCCACAGCCACAGCCACAGCCACAGCCACAGCCACAGCCACAGCCACAGCCACAGCCACAGCCACAGCCACAGCCACAGCCACAGCCACAACCACAACCACAACCACAACCACAACCACAACCACAACCACAACCACAACCACAACAACAACAACAACAATCATCATAAATACATATTAATAATAATAATGATAATGATAATAATCATAATAATAATGAAAGAAAATAAGTAATAATAAGAGTAATAATAATAATAATAGCTACTAATAATGATAATAATGATCATAATGATCATACTAGAAAATACATACTAATCTCAATAATGATAATAGTCAATAATCATAATACCAACACTAATAATAATAATAATAATAATAAACAAATAATAATAAAAACACACAACCAAAAATACATAAAAACATAATTATAATAACAATAGTGGCAATAATGATTGATAAGAGCGAATGACATGTTGGTTGTAAATAACTTAGAATACCTTTGGCAATGGCTTATTCGCAGGAACCATGGTATGCAATTGGCCTGTCAATTACCAACACCTCGTTCGGATATGTGTAACCGCGCATATCCTTCGAAGGGTTAAACCATAGGCTTCAGATACCCAGACCTCTGGATTTTCACAAGAAGACAAAGGGCACCTGTGTTACCATGTTCAAGTGGCTGCTCAACACGGTACCCATAATGGCCCTTGGTACATGGAACAAGGACCGAAACCCTGCATAACCCCGGCTGGATTTTTTGTTGAGCCACCACGTGAAGCCCCTCCCAAAAACGAACAGGCGAAGACTTGTTCCAAGCATCTGCCCACGCTGACAGCTTTCCCCATCATGACGTTCTCCTTGACGCCCTCCATGGGATGGCGACCTTGCGCACCGGGACTCACAGCCCGGGGCTGGATTCATGCACGGGCACCTCCATTTAATCAAGCAATCGTTTATTCATCTGAGGTTCCTCTTGAAAGTGTTCATGCGGACTCAACCACAGCAAATCTCAGCCTCAACCCCTCCGGAGATCTGCCAACCCCCAGCGCCCATCTGTGCTCTGAGCCGCCCCGCCTGAGCCCTGCAGCACGGCCTGCGCACTCAGAACGCGTGTGATCTGTGGGCGCGGAACGGTACACCCTGGGCCTGCAGAAAGAAAGGAAGGAAGAAATAAAGAAAAGAAAGGCAAAATGGAAAGCCACAGATCCCACAAAGAAAGCCCTTTCTCTCGCAAAAGGATGCCTTCATCAGTTCCATGCAGCCTGGTTCCCTATGGTCGAATCGGGAGCCCCATGCCCAAAAACCCCGAATTGACCATAGACCACTTATCTTCATGCCTCAGACCGGATATAAGCACACTAGCGTTCAATGTGTTCGCCTATTTTGAAACATCCCCCCTGCGTTTGTTGTGCTTTTACTTGTTCCTTTTTTTGGTGGGGGGATGTTCGGCTAGCCCTGAACCAAACTGAAGCTTGCCCACGTCACCCTAAGCCAGCCCTCGAAACCCAGGCAAAGCATCAACAAAGGATAAAGTGCAGACCGAACACTCAGAAACCCAAATGTCAGGCATAACCCTTGGGAATCCCCCACCAAAATAAATGCCACGCTCACCCTAAGCCAAAACCGGGACCTAACCTGCTTTAAGTCACTCCAACACCAGCCCCAAACACGCCTAACCCAGCCCTCAATCCTAAATTACCCCTCAATCCCAACCAGTCCAACCTTGATACAACCCTGGATCACACCTTGATTCACACAAACCTATGCTGAACCAATCATACTCAATCCAAAAACGAGCCCCAACCACACCAACATTTCGCACGCTTCAAATCCAACCATCGCCCAGGCTGCTTGGTACTCCAACCCAACTGCCCTAAAACACAAAACCCCAAACCCATTTCAAACGACCTTGGGGCCGTTGTGGGCTGCGCGCCATCAAAACAACCCTTTCAAAAGGGTACAAGTACCAAGTACCCTCAAAACAGACAAATAGAGAGAGAGAGAGAGAGAGAAAGAGAGACCCCCAATAATTCACCCACACCACCAAAAAAAGTCGCTTCAACTTGACGCCGCAAGCCCCCCCCCACATCTTTGTTCCCTGGGCTTTTCCCCCCCCCCCAAAAAAAAACAAGAGAACCAGAACCCGAACACCTCCGGACCCGTCTCCTGTGACAGCAAGTTGTCGGGCTCCCGAAAGCCCATGGCCACCAGGAAGTGCGAGTCCTCGCCCGAGCCGCTCTCTGAAAGCTGGCGATGCAGCTTGACGTCGCGGGAGCCAAAAAACAAGTCAATGCTAGATGATCTAGATATATATATATATATATATTTATATATATTTGAAAAAAACAAAACTTGGTTGGCGCCTTTTACAGCTTGGTCAATGTTCAACCCTGAACCAAGCTTGGATGCAAAAACAAAAGTCGTGTTCATCATATTGGCTTGGTGGACGTGGATGGCTTTTCTTGGGGTCATTCCATTTCTTATTCCCCACTGAGCACCAGCAAGGTATGAAGCTTCCAATGGGGAACCACCTCCCCCCAGTTCTCGCACCAAGTTACTTGTACCAACCCGATTCTTGGCGGGTCCAACCATTTCTTGAAATTGTTCATCAACCAGTTGGGTACATGTCAAAGCAAGGGATTTGGAGCCTCAAAATCCTTGGTGCCATTTGAGGTTTCAGTTTGAACTAACCTGAAAAGGATACCCTCAAGAGAAATACAAGCCCCTATTTGACCTCGCCGGTGGTGTCGAAACCGAAAAGTGCTGCCCGTCCTTGCCCACCACCGTCACGCCCCGCACCAGCGGCACCACCTGCACCTGGCGGGCCGCCCTTTCTTTCTTTTTCGCGGAAAGAAAAAGCGTGGGATTGTGTAAGGCGAAAGCGGGTGAACTGGGCCAACGAAAAGACAGAGTCGGAAACACACACGCACACACACAACAAAACAAAGAAACAAACACATGTTCGGGCCAAAGGACATGCAGGGACGCACATCACTGGGCGTCCCCTTCAAGAGTTCCAAGTACTGATTCCACTCAAACTGACAATTTGGGTTCGACAAAGAGCAACTCAGGCCCCTTGCCTTTTGGGATGGGAGGGCAAGAGTGCAAATAGGGCTTCATTGCTTTTGGACTGAAATACGAGTGCGGACTTGGCAGTGACCGCTGAAATGCGTTTCCTGCCAAATGCATGTGACCAACAACAAGGGCATGTGTTTGGTCCTATTGTCTTCGGTCTCACCAAACACATCACCTTTGCCGCCGTCCACCCTCCCCGCCCCCGCCCCGAAAAATCATGTGATATTGGCCATGCCAGCTGAATATCTGGGCAGTCAAGGAGGTCCTTTGCCCCGCTCGCAATCTGAGAACCCAACCTGCCCTTCAGAAGTGGAAAAAGAACCACCTAGAATGAACAAGGGGCGTGTGGTTAGGGACTGGACAGAAGGGTCTGTCATGGGCATGGTCTCGGGTTGCCCCTCCCCTGCCACTGACTTAACCACGTCATTTGGGACTAAAATCAAACCCAACCAAACAAAGAACAATCAAACAGGGAACACGACCAAGCAAACAAGCAGGAAAGAAAGAAAGAAAGAAAGAAAGAAAGGAAGAAAGGAAGGAAAGAAAAAGGAAGGAAGGAAGACCCCCATGTCTCCCTCCTGCCGCCTCGCCGGAGGCTTGCAGCGAGCACAAAGCTTCCAGCTCGTCGTAGGTAAGCTCTGTGCCGGGGGGCAAGCCTCCGGCGCCCTCCAGGATCTTACACTTCTCCTGAGAAACGGGTAGAAAACGGGAAACACGTCCTTCAGTCCAGTTCAGTAACCATTTAACTTGTGATCCATGGGAAGCCACATCGAAGCCACCAAAGAAAATGGGTGTATGGGTTTCAAAACGCTACTGAAAGTAGAAAAACATTTTACCTGTGATTCATGGGGGGAAGCCAAGGAAAATGATTTGGTTTCAAAAGGCTACTGAACAACTGACAAAAGTGATCTGCAACCCGGTGTCCGATGCACTGCCAATGGGTGTGCCGGAAATATTCGCGGGCCGCGTATTGGGTTTTATCATGGGCGCTCGAAACTAGAAGCCCTCGGGGGACCCCCAAACACCTTGAGTTTGAAAGGACATGCTCGCACGGCCGTGCTCTTGGAGTGGTCCCTCTTGGATTTCTGCGTGCTGGCTGTGCGTGCGAACTGCAAGTGCCAACCTGTCACAGAAGAGTTCTCCAATCAACGTTCACAAGTCTCGGACCCAAGTCAAACTGCCGAACCCGGGCTTGCCACGTGCTTGTCAACAGGAAATACGTATACCACATGCCTCGACGGTGGCAAGCGAGGGAGAGCTTGCCGGTACGGACATGTCACATTTTGCTCACCTGATGGTAGATGCGTAGACACAGCTGTGGGAAATAGCCCGTGTGATGCCAGAGCGGGTCATCCCCACACTTTGTTACTTCAAAGGGGACCTCTGTATAGCCTTGTACCCAGTGTCATTCCACCGACTTCTTCATGGCATGTGTATCTTTAAGATTGCTGGCTGCAAAATCGGCTCTAACCGTCCATGGGACCCCCCCCCCCCGGAGACTTGCTTGCATCTATGTCTCAGTCATCTTGCGCACCACGACCTGTTCGCGCGGACGAAGGGAGCAAACGAGTGACCATGGTAGATCTGCCAATTGTTGGTCAGAAGGGGACCATTTGGGGGGGGGGAGGGGGTTAGGGTGGGGAAACTGCAATCAGCGGGTAAACTTCAATAAGTGCAAGTTAATGCAGGCAATTGTAAGGGCAAATTACATGGGAAATACGGAACCCTCTTGCAAAGGATCTTGCATGGCGAGCTCGTGGTAACCCCAGAAAATGTGTGCAGATCGTAGCAAGAACACTTTCAAGTAGCCCTCCCCCAGACGGGTACCAAGACCCTCTCGTAAGCCTCTTATTGCTGAACCTTACCCGAGGAAAGTGACATGGGGAGCATCAAGGCTAATTAGCCAAGTTTCCCGTGACCAAGCTGGAACGGGGATATCCCGGCAGGAAATGAGTCGAAGCCGCGGTGCTTTCGTCTGTTCGGTTTCGCTTCAGCCAGATACTTGGGGCCAGCTGCCCAACCCGAAATGCTCGGACTCCGCTCGAATCCGCCTCGATGTGCCGGCTGTTGATGCCAACCTCAGCCAGCACTCTGCCCAAGAGCAGCAAAAGAAACGACCCACCGTCTAAGACATCAAGACGGGACTGCAAATGCCACAAGCGGAATATCATGATCTTCATCCATACTCTGGATGGACGAACTCCTGCACCACCCCTTTCCCTTTTTCCACTAACAAACGTTCTGGCTTCAACCAGGGTTTCCAAGTGGTGCGAAATGGATTTCGTCCATCAACCGTAGGTCTCACCTATCCCATCAACCGCTTTCCCTCTACCCACGCTCGATCCGAGGCGCGCCCTGCTGGCCATAGGCGCCCTGGATCTCGGCGACCAACTCTTGCTGGTACCTACGGCCAATACTCAGACAAAAAAGGATCTTCAAATGGCTATGTCTTCCCCTTCTTGGGGTTGATTTCAGAGGAGCCAAAGGGAAACCAACTTCTGTTTGCTGTCTTTTTTTCTCTTTCCTGTCCTTTTTTTTTGTTTTGACGAGGGGACTCAAAAAAACAACCCCAAATGGATGACGTTGTTTTTCCCCCCATCGGACACTTCCAAGGTCAAGAACCCATTGGGATGATGATCGGTGCCAAGCTCTACAAGGCAAACGCAACCAAAGGAGTGATAGCTTGCAGTCACGGCAGGCGTTCGGAACCCACACCATTCACCCCGTTCTGGTCAAGATTTCGAGGCCGACCCGCGAACCCCAAGAATTGCATGTCCAAATCTGACTCAGAAATGAACGCAGCAACGGGCATTTGTTTGAAGCCCGAGTCTTCGAATTCGAGCTGGTCGTCCCATTTCGTGGCCGATTCCATCCGTACCCAGCCCCAAGTTGAGGCCAGGGGGCTTGAAGCACGCTTCCTTTGCCGCCTCCAGCCCTGAACGGCTTCGGCACACCTTCGCAAGCTTTCTCGCATGGATGTGTCTCCCACGTTTTGTGGGATCACAAATGGTTGGCTGAGCCTCACTTCCTTTCAAACCAAGCGGGTCCCCTGAAGGAAACATCCACATTTCGATCTACGTTTATCCAGGCTATGCTCTTTAACACCATCTTTGGCACAACTGGGAAGCGCCCGTCCGCTTCGAAGCGTGCTGCTTGCAAAACAGCCCTTAGCTTTTTCAGACTGGTCTAAAGGGGAACCTTTGGGTCGCCCTATTTTGACACATATCCACGTAGGTCACGAGCACACACGCACACTAAACATGCTGTGCTATGTGGTAGAAGTGACCATTGGCACTCACTCGGGAGGGCATTAGGCTGCGAGTCAGCGGTAGGGCGCTTTCAGATTGGGTTCTTTGCGTTTACTGTTGCCAGAATGTTGAACAACGACTTTGGATGACTCAAGTTTGAAGACAATTACATGCGGGCAACACGAGCTTGTACATGATGAAATTCCTTACGGGGATCAGTCTAGTATGCGCAGTAGTAGATGCCTTCTCAGGCAGGCTCTGCCGGCCCTTTGACTGTGTTTTTGTTGTTTCTTTTGTTGTTTCTTTCCTCAGGATGTTTGGCAGGGGCCGTTTCGGACCAATCCAAAGTGATCTTCCAGCACAGGAGCGAACGCAGCAACAGGGTCCTTGAAGCCTGCCACGAGGCATGGGAAATGAGAGAACTCCGAGGCAGGGCGGGGATGACACTTTCACGCGAAGATCCCACCAGTCCTGTGTTCAAAAGGACACCGCCCCCATTTTCAACTTGCCTTCCAAAGGGAAGCAACCCCATATTCCACAAATTGTGCAACCCCTACCACCAAATGGGCCCAAGCTTGACTTCGACGTCATGGTGCCTCGGCATAGATCTCGTCCAAGCGATGCTGAAGAATGCCATACGCTCCCTGCAGATGGACAAGTGCCACACTTGCCGCAAGCATTCTCTTGCCCCCACCCCCATCAGGTACCGAAGGAAACTACAGTATGATCCGTGACAGCTACCATGGGAAGCACGCTCATGACTCATGCCTTTTTGCATTTTGAGCAGAAATCTCAGCACTTTGTTTCTCATGTTTCGAGAAAACGTGCTTGTTGCAATCCATCTAGATTGCAGAGTTCTTGACAGAATGCTTCTTGGAATCCAGTTTGGCGGCTTCTGATGCTGAACCAAGGGTTCGCAGAAAATATGTGGTTTCCCCAGCCAAAAGAAAAAGAAAACAAACCCATGCATGTCCTCAGATCCTTTGGTTTTTGCTGTGTTTTGCGTGTTTCGAGGTTCTTTTGGTTCTTGGATTAGTTGTCAATTTCTACAATTCCCGTGGTGTTGTGCCTCTTTGAGGGTTCTTTGTACCTCTTTTCTGCCGCCATAACTCTTCTCCAAAACACCGCTCTTACGCGCTTCATGCGCGTGGCTTTCGACTTGGATGCTGGGCGCTTCTGGGTGGTTGTGGCAGTTCCGCGGCTCAACAAAGCATGGACGTGTTCTCTCTGGATCGATGAATGCAACAATCCGGGCCAGCCCCAAAGCCCCAGAAACGTTCAAGTATGTCAACACACTCTAGACGAGTGCTCTCTGGATTGAAGACTGAAGATTGAAGGCTCACGAGAAAGAGTTGTTACTTCCATATTTGAAGCCCTACTTGCTTGCTACGAGGAGTGGCCAATTCCACTTTGTTTTAAGAGCAACTGCAAGGTGACAGGCAACATGCTGAAAAGGAGTGTATCTTACAGTGTTTTGCCAATGCACATGTTTTGTTTAGCACACTTTCCTGTGGCTGGCGCAGCTCGTACTTTATGACAACTTGAGTGCACTTGGATAAGGAAACTGAATCCATTCAAAATTGAACCTGATTCCAACCTCAAATAGCACTGTCAATAGGATTGTTCGCCAGATTGGAAATACAATCCGTTAAAATTGAGTTTTGGATTGAATTCAAAAATAGTAAGTTAAGTTGGAATTCGTTCCCATAATTGACGATCAACCGTTTTGAACAACTTAATCGGATCTGGCAAGCAACACGTAATGTGGATATGAGTCGCTTTCCAACATTAGCTTGTTATGGTTACTCGTTTTTAAACATGGATTGTTTTAGAAACACAACTGCATTATGAAAGGAATGGAACGCTTTTACGTTTGAGCTGGATTTCAATATAGAACAGCAATTAGATAGGAATGAAATCCTTTCCAAACTCGATGTGAATTGGATTTTGTTTAGAATTTAGCTGGAATTCCAATGTCAAACAGGTTGTAAATAAATAGAATCGAACTTAGATCAACCCATACAAGGAGATATCTGTTAAAATTGAACTTGGTTCGCATTTGATGGCCAATAGAGTTTAATGAACAAACAAGCGAATCAGACAAGCAACACATGATATAGATAGGATTTGCGCCCCAAAGTTCATGTGTTTGAAGTCAAAGTTGCATTCTAGGAATGGAACGCGTTTGCGATTCAACAACATCTCAGCTTCAAAAAGCAAATTACGAGGAGCGGATTCCTTTCCAAATTTGACGTAAGTTAGAATTGCACTAGAACTTACATGGAATCACACAAGGAGAGGGAAAGACTTTCGAATTGAACTGGAAGTCAAAGTCAAACTTAACAGACAGGGACACCAAATCGCATCCCAAAATAGCCTTCCTGAAGCTTGGGAAAAACGTGCTTTATCTCAAAAGCTCAGCGCTCAATAATTGTCCCCTCTCTTTGAAAAACCTCAATCAATCTCGTTGCCTGAAGGTGATGTCCAATCTGGGCATTGGGAACTCACCCTACTCACTTCAAACTCCAATCCCTCTCGGGTAGGGCAGTGCGGATGCCCTGCTCATCCAGTTTGTAAAGCAACGGAACCCCAGGACTATTTTAATTGATCAAGGTCCGCTGCGCCAGTGTATCTTCCATGTTTGTTTCAATAGTCTGTTTAACCATTTTGGTTCAGTCATGATGCTGGTGACCATTTCTCGACCCCCACACCCCCGACAGGCCAACCACTCGTGCATGTCCCTTTTCAGGAATCGGACCCCCAAATTGCCTTCGGTCTTTTCCTCTTCTTCCTGCAAAACCCACGAGAGATTGATCCTTCGGCGTTTTCTCCTCTTCCTGCAAAACCACGAAACAATGGGGGCAGCACCCCCACAGGAAGACGGGCCCACGCCTCTCTCTCCCCGCGCCCCCCGCGCGCCTCGAAGAGGCGCTCGATGCGGGGCAGGCCCTGGACGATGTCGGAGGTCTTGGGCACCACGAGCGGCTCAGTGCCCAAGACGTCGCCCTTCCGCACCACGCTGCCTGTCCTCACCTGCGAAAGGGCAGGTCCAACCCTGGTCCTGCCGGGTTGGAGCTTGGTATCCTCCCCTTCTCTTTTTGGCTGTTGAGAAAAGGGGAAAAACGGGAGGACCGAAACCATTTTGGGGGGTCTGATCTGAACAAAAGAGAGCCAGCGGGCCGCTTTTGAGTCTCCCTTTTGGGGTTGGGGTTAAACCAT